GTGGCTTCTGAAATGATGGGCTCTGGGTCCTGTGTTTGATGTGCCTCTGCCTCACCCTCAGGTGTCATAACGTGCATTATTTATTCATAAAGTACTGTGGGATTGCAGAGTTGTGCTGAATAAAGACAAGTGTGTTCTCCCTATTGAGGAACTTGGAGTCCAAAGATAGACTAGAAATTTATAAACAACTTTAAGTGCTCAGGAACATCCAAATGGACATTCTAATGGAAGGAGGTGAGTCCAAAAGACTGATTTTGTGTATAAAGCCACTTACATAAATTTATAGGTTTTGGATCTAATCATAAGTTGGGAAGAATCAGACTGTTCTCAAATTGACCTAAGCATAAGCCAATTTTTTAAGTTGGCAAATTATGATATAGAAACCTTTCATGATTCTAACAATATTAAACAAATGGAAAAACTTACAGAATAAATATTAAATTATTCAAAGACTAGGGGCAGAATCCCTTGCCGCTCACTCAACCATTATCATTCTTTTAGACATATTCAACTGAATATAAAATGGGATATACTATTATAAATTCATTATACAACTGGAGAGGGTAAGCCTTTTCTCTACTGGATATTTTAATTTGTCTTCGGTATTTATGTAACTATTTCTTGCTTCTCTTTAGCTTGCTCTTGGTGCATTGAGGGATTCCTGTTGGCAGAGTGGGTTACCAGTGGGTTATGCATTAGGCTGCTAACCTGGGAGTTAGAAGTTTGAAATCAGCAGCCATTGCCAGAAGAAAGAGGAAGCATAAAGAGTTACAGTCTTGCACCCCACAGGGCCAGTTCTCCTTTGTCTTGGAGAGTCAGTATGAGTTGCAGTTAATTTTATAGCATGAAATTTAGGGGTTGTTTTGGTTTTGTTGGTGCATTGACTGTCTTCTGTTCACGGTCAAATGAGCAGAGTTACAATTGATTGCATGACAATCTCACTATCCTCTTGAAAAGCATGTTGCTGTTCCAGGCTTTCCATTAGAGCATGGTTTGTGTTGTAGCTGTAGTGTATTATATGATTGCACAGAAAAGTTATGTCCTCCCATCCTTCCTTCTGTTACCTGTAATAACAGCACTGAACTGTCCCAAAGTTCCCCAAACACCAGTGTTTTAATCCTCTTTGATGTTATGCATACCTTTTCTTCTGCTAGTAATGTTCTTCTTCCAGCTACTTGCCTTACACTTCAGCTTTGTTGTGTGTTACGTGTTATGCCGTGTTATGTGTACCCTTCCCCATGAAGCTTCCACTTCCTGTTCCAAAATGGCAATCACCCCATCCCCTTATACCCAAGATATTAACCAAGTACACACTTCAGATGACATATTGCAATCCTTTAAAATCAGCTCACTTTAGGAGGAAAATGAGCTTTGTGTCTGGTTAGCTGATACATTTTATGGATGCCTTTATGATCATACCCCTTAGATTGTCCAGCATGGAGTGACAGTTCAAGAAATGTTGGATGTATTTAATTCATATCTGTGTGATCAATTAATTAAGATTTTCATGTGATATTTTAAATCCCGAAGAAATATATCTACTATCTATAAACCAAGTTAACTTAAGAGGATTTAGCATCCTAACAAACACTACCCCACCCCAGTTCCTTTTTAACTTAAGAAGTTGTATTATTCTTATAGTTTGTGCTAAATTGGAAATCAGTGTTCGAAAAATTCATTGATTCAAGGAGGAGTTTCCAAGGCATCAATAAACTC